GTCTCTATGGAACACATGTATCTTTCTCAAGAAACACTTGTTAAAGCAGTAGCTTTAACTTCCAAAGTAAAAGAAGAAAGATTTCATTTTTTAAAAAATTATGGTAACTCTTAAGCCAAAGGGGGGGAGGAAATTTTCTTTTTATTGTTCAAGAACTTAATCTTTCTCCCATAAAGGCATCCCCCCTCTCCATTTCCTTGAGATTCAATAAATGGTAAGCTCTCACTAAATGTTAATGTTTATTTTTATATATAAAGTACTACTCCCTGTTCTTTACATGGGTTATGGCATATAAATTTAAGAGACTAACTACTTGTTAAATCCACTAGGAAACACACACACACACACACACACACACACACACACTCACAGCAGTAGCAGTTCAGCAGAGAAAGATACCAGCCAAAGAAAGATAATTTGAGATACTTCTGAGGTAGCAGTTGTAAAATTAAAATAGGCAACTCATTAAATTACCCACAGAGTGAAGAGAAAGCTACAAAAATAAATATTTTTTCTGGCAAGTCAGTGCTTTTCAGAACAAATTTAGTTTTAAGCAAAATTTCAAAATCAGATGATATCAGTTCATATTCGTTAGAATCATTTAAATGGTTGGATTAGTCTGTCCTAATTAAAAGCAAAGATTAGCTTCACTGGCATTTGGTAGAAGTATATTTTATAAAAAATATGTTCAGTTAGACATCATTTTAACTGACAGATTGTAAGCAATTGGATAGAGTGAATGTTATTTGAGCAAGTTGGAGCCTGGTCTCTCAATCACAGAATTAAAAATAAAAATCTTTTGTGAGTCATGCCTCAATGCCGACTTTGTCTCGTTTTTTATTTTATTATTTATTTATTTATTTATTTGTGGCTGATCAGCTATTTTGTGGTCACCCAGGCCTTTGCCTCTCACATTGCCTGATTTGGGAGTGTTGTTTCTTACTAAAGCTTCCCCTAGAGGACAGGCCAGGAAAAGGAAAGAAGCTAAATTCAGTAGCTGCTCCTCTTATTAAGAATTTAGATCAGAGATGTGATAGGGAGAGAGTGATAGGCAAGTGAATGAAGAAGCTTATGTATGCTGGTTGATTTTAGATCTTTTAAATGTCATCTTTCCAATTTACCCTGATAGGCAATTGACAAATGATATTTTGCAAGCCAACAACAACAAAAAAACACCTTGTTTTTAAAATCCCCATTTACTGCCTTGACCATACAAAGTAGATAATATTTAAAAATAACTAGTTTCTGGTTCAGTCGAATGAAAATGTAAAGCGAGTGTCACAGTGATACCTCCCACTTATGGAGTGTCTGCTTTGCAAAGCCTTTTCAGACATTCTCGTCTATCTTCCAAAAATTGCTGTGTTGTAGGTCTTACTATCATTGACAATGAAAAAGCTATAGGCAGGGTGAATATATTTCCACCTGAATTAATACTGATATATTCCATTGGGGAAGCTAGACCAAGCCAAAATCTCACACACAGAAATATGCAAGACCAGGGGGTACAAAAGTAAGCTAGGTTACTGCTATTATTATTTTTTAGGTTAAAAATATACCCCCTCCAATTATTTCCCCATGTTCTTATCACCTTCTAATCTGCCTGATTTCAAAGAGGACTACGTATTGAAATGTCTTGCCTTCATGCTGAGAAGCTCTATGTAAATATACATAAACAGTGACTACCAGGTGCACCATTTTTAAAGTGACATCCATTTCCAGGACACTTTAGGTGAAACCATTTCATCTCACAAGTCGAGGGTGTGTGTGTGTGTGTGTGTGTGTGTGTGTGTGTGTGTGAGAGAGAGAGAGAGAGAGAGAGAGAGAGAGAGAGAGGATGACGTGACACTTTTGAGGTTTAAGTTGTTACAAATCTAGAAGTTAAAAGAATGAGACTGTTAAGCATTTTCCCTCCTTGTCTCCCAGAGACGTGAAATCTACAATTTTCTCACTTCCGCTGTCAGATAAATTGGCAAGTCGACTAAGAGGATAATATTCCCTTAAGGGTGCATTCATTCGAAACCCTAGCAACTGTATTAGGCAGCAGCGAGTATTCGCTAGCAAGGAATCTAGCGAGGAGAGGGAACTCTACAATTTAGAGTGACAGATGCTTTTTTTCTCATCCATCAAGACGCCTCAAAATGTCACAATATTTACACCTCTTCCTTGGTGAATTAGAATCCAGAGACTGGCAGACAGAAAAAGAAAGAAAGAAAAAAAAAAGATGCGACTGGTTGTCGCTTGACTGGGGAAAAGCAAGCGTTGCACCTTTAAATTCTGCCCCACCATTCCCCGAGCTCCCCCCTTCTCGGGATTTTGCAATAAATCTCCCAGTTCTGCGTTCAGCCCTGCAGATCCGTATTTAAAACAGCACCATCTGGGAAGGGTGGGTGGTGATGGTGATGCGGACTCCTTGGAGTTCCTTTGCAGCACGCTTGGAATTGCATCAGACTGATC